CCGTCCCTACACTCCCCTTCCCCGTGGTTCCCCTGCGTCTCTCCCCCCTTCTCCCGCTCACACCGCCTCCTGGCCCATCTACTTGTCCCAACATGCATGCCACGACCCTCTCTCCCAGAGTCAGTGCGAGAGGGGCCCCCATGTTCCCCGCACGCTCTCATCGGATGGGCAGGATTTCACAAGTTGGTATGTTGCACGGTTTGGTTCGATCCGAATGTTTGCTCCAAGATGGTGTTCCCCATTGCAGCGTCGGCCTCATTTGAGGATCGACGCCTTGCTCCCGTCGTTCAAAGTGGCGCGCTCTCTCCAGCGCAGGCCACGTGTCTGGATCCGAGCGCTTCGTCATCGTCGTTGTCGCCCGCTCCTTTCCCTCCTCCGCCTTCCCCTGGTCCTCCTGCTCCTGCCGCTCCTTCAACTCCTGCTTCTGGTGCTGCCGTTTCTCCTCTCCCACCCTTCCTCACAGTCCTCCTCCTTTTCCTCCTGTGTATCCTGCTATTCATCTGCCTCCTTCTCATCATCATCCACTGTAAACAGCCCTTTTGCTGCGCATTGCAACATGGAGTAATGCTGGGGTTCCAGGGTCCATTATGACATCCGCTGGCGAATATAGAGAAGTGATGATAAGCCCGCGACATGGAAAGGGATGGGCGAGGGGGTATCATGTCAGACACGGCGCGGGGGCACTTGGCTTGCCTCCTGCCACTCGCCCCCCTCCCCAACCAACCCTCGCCCTCACATCCCCGTTTCCCCCCATCCTCGGGTCGAGAACCTGCCAGGACCCCGAGAACCCCCTAGAGCCTCCAGAACCTTTTCAGAAGCTCTCCAGCGTGAGCTCTCCTATGATCCCTCCTCCGTCTCCTCTTCCCGCCTTCTCGGCGCGGCCTTTGGCGCACTATGTACCGTCGGCTGCTCATGTTCTCCCTCCTCGTCGTTATCCTACCCCTCCTCGTCCTCCTCCTCCTCATATCATCATCATCATCATCATCATCATCATCATCATCATCATCATCATCATCATCATCATCATCATCATCATCATCATCATCATCATCATCATCCTCATTCTTCCTATCCTCCTCTTTTTCCTCCACTGCATTGTTACTTTCTTTCTCCTCATCATGGTCATCATCAGCAGCAGCAGCATCTGCATCAGCATCAGCATCATCACCACCATCATCATCATCATCATCATCCATATCATCATAATCGTAATCCTCACCATCGTCATCAACATCATCATCATCATCATCATCATCATCATCATCATCATCATCATCATCATCATCATCCTCATCCTCATCCTCATCCTCATCTTCATCATCAGCATCTTCAGCAGCGTCATCATCATAATCCTCATATTAATATTCCGCATCATCATCGGCCGCCCCCCTCCCTCCTCCTCCTCCTCCTCCTCCTCCTCCTCCTCCTCCTCCTCCTCCTCCTCCTGATCTTCATCACAAGTCTTATTCTTCCTCCTGTGTCGCTGTCTCCTCACCCCCATTCCACTCCTGCCGCCGCTCCACAGGAGAAGAAGGGCGTCAAGAAAGAGTCGTCCTCCAGCAGCGACGACAGCGGCAGCAGCGCCGGCGCGGCGGTGGCCAAGCCGCCGCCAGCGGCTGCCAGGGAGAGGTCCAGGGCAGCCAAAAGCGCGTTGGTAGCTGAGATTCGCCCCGCCCTTGGAGGAGGAGGAGGAGGAGGAGGAGGAGGAGGAGGAGGAGGAGGGGAAGGACCAGTGCAAACCCAAGACTCCTTAACGATGTTACAATAAACCCTCCCTCCCAGCTCCCTCTTCATGGGCCGCTACAAGGATTCATTCTCACTGAGGAAAGTGCCCCGTTGGAAGACAACCGCTTGAACAACCGAAACTGAACAATAACACCATTCTTGGGACTTCCGCGAATCACCGTTACTGTTGCGTCTCGGCGATCCTGGATCGTGCCAGAACACCGTGCCTCGGACTTCAACACCGCGAATCAACGTGACCGTTGCGCCCTGACATTCCGACACCGTGCAAGAACTTCTTCTGTTACGTTAACCATGAGGATCCTTGAAACTTGTGCAAACTCTGGAGACGAATGTGCGCGGCGCTGCGGAAAGAGCCACATTTTGAAAAGGAACCGCTCTCCATCCGCAAAGCTCTTTGCGAACTTCTATGACAAACGCGCGCGGTTCTACAGCGAAAGCCACATTTTGAAAACCGCCCACCTTCCATTCGTGAAAAAATCATGCAATTTCTTATTATACATATATGTATAATGATTTCGCGACGCTAAGGCGGGAGGCACATTCTGAAAGCGACCCAGCCTCCATCCGTGGAACAGTTGCAAGTTCTAAGCTTCAGGGGCAACAGCGGTGAAGAAGTCTCAAGCGAGACGCCCGACCCGCCCTTTCGACCAGCCTCGGGGTGCGACAGGGAGGAGTTATTTATGAGGAGAAGAAATGGAGGAGGTGGAGGAGGAGGAGGGTGGAGGGTGGAGGGAAGAGGAGGAGGAGGAGGAGGAGGAGGAGGGGGAGGAGGAGGAGGAGGAGGAGGAGGAAGGGCGGAGGGAGAAGGAGGAGGAGGAGGAGGAGGGGGACCAGTGTAAACCCAACACTCATCAACGATATGAAGGGGGGAAAAACAACAACAAAATCCCTCCCAGCTCCCTCGTCATGGGCCGCTACAAGGATTCATTGTCCCTGACGGAAGTACCCCGTTGGAAGACAACCGTTTCAACATCCGAATCTGAACCAGAGCACCATCCCTGGGAATTCAGCGCCGCGAATCACCGCCGTTATTCTTGCGTCTGCACGATCCTGGATCGTGCCAGAGCACTGTGCCTCGGACTTCAACACCGCGAATCAACGTGACCGCTGTGCCTCGACAGTCCGACATCGTGCCGAAACACCGTTTATGGTACGTGAACTGCGGCAGGCTCTGAAGACGAATATGCGCGGCGCCAAGGCGAGAGACATTGTTTGAAAAGGAATAGCCCTCCATCCCTCAAAGTCTTGCAAGCTTGTAAGACGAATGTGCGCGGCGCTAAGGCGAGAAACGCATGTTGAAAGCGATTCGCCCCCCTTCCGCGAAACGCTTGCAAAGTTTAAGATGGATGTGGGCAGCGCTGAGGCGAGAGCCACATGTTGAAGATCACCCGCCCTCAGCCGTGAAAATATGACAAACACCGAAGACGAATATACGCGACGTTAAGGCGAAAAGCACAATTTGAAAGCGATCCGCCCTCCATCCGTGACACTGCGCTGCAAAGCTTAAGCTTCAGGGTCATACGTGGTGAGGAAGTTTCAGGCGAAACGCCCGGCCCGCCTTCTCGACCGGCCTCGGGGTGCGACAGGGAGGAGTTGCTTACGAGGAGGAGTTATACAGGAGGGGAAGGAAAGGATTATTGCTTTCGTATGAATTTCAGAGCCACGAACCACCAGATACCAGGAGGAGGAGGAGGGGGCGGAGGACGAGGAGGAGGAGGAGGAAGAGGAAGAGCAAGGGGAGGAGGAGGAAGCCGAAGTGCCGCAGCCGCCCCGCCAGGAGAGGGACCTCGCCCCCCCGGCGAGACGAGCCCTCCCCGCCGAGGAAGAAGCCGCGAGGTGCGGAGGACATGTCAGCGGCCCCTCGACGGCGGCCCCTCGGCGGCGGCCCCTCGGCGCCTGCTCGGCGGCCCCTCGGCGGCCACTCGGCGGCCCCTCGACGGCGGCCCCTCGGCGGCGGCCCTTCGGCAGCCCCTCGGCGGGGAACCCTCGGCGGCCACTCGGCGGCCCCGCGGCGGCCCCTTGACGGGGGGGCGGCGCGGAGGACCTTGCCCACTTGGGCCCCAGCGGCGCGCTGATAGACAAGAAGGCCGTGCTCATCAACATCCGCAGCAGCAGCATCCTCCTCCTCCTCATCCTCCTCTTCTTCCTCCTCCTCATCACCATCATCTTCACCAGCAGCAGCATCAGCATCAGCATCATCATCATCATCATCATCATCATCATCATCATCATCATCATCATCATCATCATCATCGTCACCATCAGCAGCAGCATCATCAGCATCATCACCAGCATCATAATCTTCATCAGCAGTATCATCATCACTCTAACCGTCATCATCATCATGATCAACATCATCATCATCATCATCATCATCATCATCATCATCATCATCGTCATCGTCATCGTCATCGTCATCGTCATCAGCATCAGCATCATCATCATCATCATCATCACCCTTACCATTATCGTCGTCATCAGCATCGTCGTCGTCATCGTTCCTCCCATCCTCCCTCGATCTCTCTCTCTCTCTCTCTCTTTCTCTATCCCTCTTCTTCATTCCTTCCCCACCTTCATCCCTCCTCCTCCTCCATGTGCCTCTATCCTTCCTCGCGCCCATGCCATAGCCAGGCTTGTCCTAAGTGGAGCCGCATGACCTGCTCCATTGCCTGGGGGGCAGCAGCACTGACGGGGGGCGGAGACTGTCGCTTGTCGTGCCGCTTCTGAGCTGTTCTGCTTGTTTTGGAGCAGGGATTCCGCGCAGGAGCTCATCACTTGTCTCCCCTCCGCCACCAGGATCTCAAAGGTTGGCGGCCATCAAAGCTGCGATGTTGGCGGTGCGGGACGATATGTGACTTCGAAGTTTGACCCTCACACGCTTGCGAGCCACTGAAGTTGTATTATGTCAGTGTTGGTGTGATGTGGCACAACCCTCACATTCTTGCGGGCCATAGAAGCTCCAGAATGGAAATGCTCTGGCGACTGACGACATAAGAGTGCAAACCTCACATGCTTGAGGACCATCGAAGCTGTAGCAGGTTCGCTTGGGGACTACGTGTGATATCTGAGTGCAGCCCTCACGCGTGTACAGTGCGTTTCACCAGAACTCCAGACATGGCGTTATTGTGCCAGCTCTGATTATAGCGCGCACGTCTCGCACGTACGCTCGCATACCATCGAAGCTCCAGAATGTGCAAGTATTGCAGACGGTCCTGGCCCTTTGGCCACCGCCTGGGCGAGGACGACAATTCGCGGGCTCGTGTGCGGCCCCGCTGCCGGTTCCCGATGAATCGGCGAGCGCAAAGTGCGCGCCACGCCAGAGCGAGACCGCCACGTCCAGGCGAAATGTGCACAGAGATTCGGCGGGGGCGGCCAGGCGCCCAGTTGTGCGCGGCCCCGGTTCCAACGGCAGGGCGAGTGAAAAATACGCGGCACGCCGACACAGGAGCTTGGCGAGAGCCACAGTTGGCCCGCTCGTGCGCGGCCTCTTCTTGTCGAACACTTGGCAGGCGAAAGATGTGCGACGAACCCACGCACGGGACCAGTTCTCAGGAGAAGGACGCGCGGCGCGCAGACGAGAGAGACATTTCGCCCTTCCGCGCGCGATGGGCACTTCGTCTCAACCCCTGCCGTGCATTTTGCACCGCCGACGACAAAACCTTTAACGTTGCAATGCTGCAGTGCAAAACTTCGATTTCGCATGGACTTCACATACGGGTTGAAGGAGGAGGACAGGGGAGGACGAGGATAAGGGAGGAGGCTGCAAAGAGGAAGGGGAGGAGGAGGAGGAGGAGGAGGAGGAGGAGGAGGAGGAGGAGGGGAGGAGGAGGAGGAGGGGGAAGAGGAGGAGGAGGAGAAGGAGAAGGCGAGGCAGGAGGAGGACGAGGAGCATCCGCAGGAGGAGGGCGGTGGAGGACGAGGACGAGGGAGGGGCTTGCGAGGAGGAGGAGGAGGAGGCGAATAAGCAGGAGGACGGGGGAAGACGAGGACGGGGACGAGGGAGGAGGCTGCAAGGAGGAGGGGGAGGAGGAGGAGATCCGATCGGGGAGAAGCGCGCCGGTGAGAAGGCCGAGAACGCGGCGCTGATAGCGGAGAGGAGAGACAAGGCGCTTGCCAGCAGAGGCGCAACCAAGCGCCTCTCCGAGGAGGAGCCACGGACCCCCTTCGGTGCGGCCCCGGGGGGGAATGAGGAGAAGTGGAGGAGGAGGAGGAGGTGGAGGAAGAGGAGGACGAGAAGGTGGAGGAGGAGGAGGAGGAAGAGAAGGTGGAGGAGGAGGAGGAGGAGGAGGAGGAGGAGGAGGAGGAGAGGAGGAGGGGAGGAGGGGGTGAGAAGGCCACGGAGCACGTAGCAACGACACGCCGCGGCCGGGAGCCCGTCAGCGTGTTGCTCCCTCGTGTTCCTGGCATCGCTCGGGCGTGTGCATGTTTTCCCCCGGCGAGGGCCATCGAGGAGCATCCTGGATCATCCAGCCAGAAGAACACTTCTCTTGATTCGCGGGTCGAGAGCGCACCTCTTCCGGTCGAAGCTCAGCGGGCCGCTCGAAGCTTGAATTAACAGCAAAGAGGGACAAAGCCACAAAAGCACGCACGAGGTCGGAAAAGGCACGGGGAGTGGACGTCCGAGCGATGGCGAGCTGTTCTCCGGAGACGTGGCGTCTCTCCATCAGTGCGACGCCGATGGGCTTCCCACGGCGGCGCGTGGTGAAGAAGTGCTGTGTTTGCTCCCCCTCCTCCCTCCTCCTCCTCCCTCCTCCTCCTCCTCCCTCCTCCTCCTCCCTCCTCCTCCTCCTCCTCCTCCTCCTCCTCCTCCTCCTCCTCCCTCCTCCTCCTCCTCCTCCTCCTCCTTCCTCCTCCCTCCTCCTCCTCCTCCTCCTCCTCCTCCTCCTCCTCCTCCTCCTCCTCCTCCTCCTCCTCCTCCTCCCACCCCGTCCTTCTGGGCCGGGGATCGAGGATCGGAGGCCAAGATCCTGAGCGAAGGTGAGGATCGAGGGTCCAAGCTTCGAGCGAGTCCGGGGCAGAGGGACGGAGGATCGGAGAGACCGAGACTCCGGAGTCTCGCTCCGCTCCTGGTACCCTTTTGGAAATTTCCGAGGGCCCCGGAACTTCAAGGGCAGCCTCCACAGACCCCCAGGGGGTTGGCACCCTCGTGGAGCGCGAGGGAGGCGTGACGGTGTGCCTTCCCTCTCTCCTGCTCGCCTCTTCCCAGAGCGAGGAAATCCCACCTCCTCGCGTTGTGAAAACTGCTCGACGCAGAGATCCCGACATGTGCATGTCATACCCCCTGTTCCTCTTGTTTCACTTTCGGGAGGGACGAGGGAGCACAGGTGGAAGGGCGATGGGGGAGTTCCTCTCGCCGTTCTCCCCGCGGCAGCTCAAGCCAGCGCGCCTGGCGTTTCTGCGCCCGCTGTCTGGCATGCTACTCGCGGCGCCTGCTAGCACTTGGGGTTCCCAAGTGCCACGCCAGCTACATCGTGGTTGCAATTTGCGTGTGAGCCTTAGTGCGAATGAATATGAGCGTGGGTGATACGAGCGTGAGCGAGTCGGAATGTCAGCGGATCCGAGTACGATTGAGCTTGAGTGTGATAGTAAGTGTGGGTACGAGCGCTACGAGTATGAGTAAGTCTGAGTGCGAGCGAGTCCAAGTGCGAGCGAGTCTGAGTGCCAGTGAGTTTGAGTGTGGGTGAGTCTGAGTTCGAATGTGATAACAATAAACATTTGGATACGACTGAGCCTGAGTGCGAGGTGACCTGAGCATGTGAGTCTGCAGGCTGGTGAGTCTTAGTGCGAATGAGAATGAGCGTGAGTTGGTATGTGTGTGAGACGGTCTGAGTTTGACCGAGTCAGAGTATGAGCGAGCACGTACACGCAAGTCTGAGTACGTTCGAAATTCAGCATGACCGATTTTGAATGTGATGAGTGAGTCTGAGTGAGGAAGAGGTGCTGGTGAGCAAGTCCGAGTGCGAACGATTGCGTCCGAGCAAGGACAGGGGAAGGAGGCGAGCGAGTGAGTGAGTGAGGGGCATAAAGTCCCAAGAAACCGCCTGAGACATCCCTCCCAATCTGAGCGCGAACCCTGGAGTGTCCCCACCACGGGCGGTTCCTCCTTGGGGTGCCCAAGTACCACGCCTGCTATATCGCGGTGGGCACTGCACCGCACACGACAAAAAACAAACAGGCGATAAAAACAACGCCTCACTTGAGACATCCCCGCAATGTGGACGCGATCCGTGGAATGTCCCCACCCGTGGCGGCTCCGCGTCGGGGTGCCCGATGCCAAGCCTCTTATCTCGCGGTGAACATTGGACAAACGAAAGGAAAAGTCTGGGGGGGGCAGAAACAGGCAAACCGCCCGAGACGTCCTGGCAATTTGCTTTGAATTCATCGGATGTTGGGCACGCTACGAGGCAAACCGTTTGAGACATCCCCACAGAGTGGGCGCGAATCTTCGAATGTCCCCACACCTAGCGCCCTGTCTTCGGGAGTGGTGGAGCCAGCGCCTCGCCGGAGACATCTTCAGGATTAGTTCCGACAGCACAGGATGTTGGGCACACAAACAGGCAAAGCGCTGGAGACGTTCCCACAATCGGGGCGCGAATCCTGGAGTGTTCCCACCCGTGGCGCCCTCTCTTTGCGGCGCCCAAAATGTGACGATTGCTAGATTCGGTGAGCAGTGGACCACCAATAAGTATTAGCGAGACTGAGTTACGATATGATAAGAATACGAGTACGATTTTGTCTGAGTGTGAGTGAGTCCAACAGCGCATATGTCGAAGTGTGAGTGAGTCTGAATTTGAATGGGTCAGAGCATGACTGCGTATGAACGCGAGTGAGTCCGAATGAAGAACAGTTTGACTATGAGTGAGTACGAATGCGTCTGAATGTGAGTGACTCAGTATGACTGAGGACGAGGAGGAAGAAGAGGCGAGGAGGTTCTCTCGGAACCGTCTTGCTAAGAACAGGAACCCCATCGTAGGATATTGGGGAAAAGCAACGAGATGCATTGGGCAATGTCCAGCCTTTGGGGCGCCCTCACTGGGCAACGGGACCGTCAAAAAATTATTGTTCCGGGAAGGAGGCCGCAACCCCTTCCCCTTTCCCTTGTCGATCGAGTGGCAGGAAGGGGAGGAAGAGGACTATCCTTCATAAGCAGAGGGAGGAGGCGTCCCCTCCGCCTGCTCCTTTGGAGCGGAAGGAAGCGCCTAACCTCCCCCCCTTCCTCGTGGGAGGCGAGGGAGGCGAAAGGAGCAGAGGCTCCTCTCAAGAAAACCCTCCTCCCAGGGGCCCTCCCTCCATCCCTCCCTCGTGAAGAGCCTTCCCTCCCTCCCTCGAGTCGAGAGATGAAGGAGACTTCTCAGGAGAGAGAGAGAGAGAGAGAGAGAGTCCTCGTCGTCCAGTTTCGGGTCAGAACTCGCGTCTCCGGCGGCCGTTCGGGACGATCTGGGCACCCCTGGGCGTTTTCCGGCGAGGCGCTGCTGCCTGAGAGCATCCCGAGGCTGGATAACCGCCGAAACCGACGAGACCGCCCGAAAGCCGATCCCCCCCCCTGAGCCGAGAGGGCCCCCGCCCAGGAGAGGAAGGAGGCCCTCGAGCGGATGCGCGGGGACGCGGCCAGGCACGAGGCGCTGAAGGACCGGAAGATTGCGGCGGCCGAGCAGGCGGAGCGTCAGCAGGAGGAGAAGGAGGCGTCCATGCGCAACAAGAACGAGCAGAGCTACTTCAAGGACGTTCGCGCGAAGGCGTACGGCGACGAGGGCGCCACCGTGGCGGACCGCCTCCGCAACCAGCGGCATCGCAGGCATCGGACATCCTTCCGCTCGTCCTCGTCCCGCGCCTTCGTGCCCCCTGTGCCCCCTCTTCGCCCTCCTCGTGCTCGTCGTGCCTCGTCGTCCTCCTCCCCCCTTTTCCTCCTCGTCTTCCCCCCGCTCCTCACCACTCCTCCCGCCGCCTGTCCCCTCCTCCTCCTCCTGCTCCTCCTCCTCCTCCTCCTCCTCCTCCTCCTCCTCCTCCTCCTCATCATCATCGTCATCAGCATCCTCCTCCGCCCGCCCCCGCTCCCCTCCCCCACCCCGCACCTCTCCTCCCCACCGCCGCCACCGCGAGGCAGAAGCACCTCAACGACCCCCTCGAGCGGGGCGAGTGAGCGGCGCCTTCCCCTGCGGCCGCACGGGGACCGCCCGGCTGCCGTCGAGGCGCCGCCCCGCCCAGGTCCGCGCTCAAAACGCCATCGCCGCCGCGGCATCACGAGGAGGGGGAGGATCGCTTCTCCTCCTCCTCCTCCTCCTCCTCCTCCTTTTCCTCCTTCTCCTCCTCCTTGTCCTCCTCCTCCTCCTCATCGTCATCATCATCATCATCATCAGTTAGCATCATTAGCATCATCATCGTCGTCGTCATCATCATCACCATCATCATCAGCATCAGCATCAGCAGCAGCATCATCATCATCGTCATCATCAGCAGCATCAGTATCATCATCATCATCATCATCAGCAGCAGCAGCAGCAGCAGCATCATCATCATCATCATCATCATCATCATCATCATCATCATCATCATCATCATCATCATCATCATCATCATCATCATCATCATCATCATTTTCCGCGCTCCTCTCCTGGCTCTCCTCTCCTCTCCTCCCTTCTTCCTCCTCCTCCCTCCTCATCCCTTCTCCTCCTCCCTGGACGTAAGAGTGACCTTTCGCCAGAGTGACCTTTGGTGCGGGCCCACTGGGGTCCCCCGACCGCCGGACGCGATGCGATAGCAGTGTCTTGCGCGCTTGTGTGTTAGCACCCCCCGGGTCCCTAAGAACCCGCGCACCGAAGGTCACTCTGACCCAGGGTCACTTTTGCGTGAAGTCGAGAGGAGGTGTGCTGGCGGTGGTCGCTGCATGAGGGAAGCAAGTTCCGAGCAGAGCAGCACGCACCACGACCACGACGACGCCGACGCCGACGCCGACGCCGACGCCGACGCCAACGCCGACGACGACGACGACGACGACGACGACGACGACGACGGCGACGACGACGACGACGACGACGGCGACGACGACGCGCAGACGATCCGCACCGAAGCACGACGGGGAAAGGGCCCACCCTGCAGGCTCGGTCAAACAGCACATCATTGAGCGGTGCTGCAGCCGGCGGGATCGGATCGGAGGGGCCCGCGAAAGAGCTCCACAGGGGGGCTGCTGCCGGGGGTGTGCAGGAAGACAAAGCTCCTGCAGACCAGAAGGGCCCGCTGACGGGTCAAGAGGCAAGCCTCTAAGAGTATGATGAGAAGTACGAATGGGCAAACTCGGCGCAGGAAGCCAAGTAAATCACAGGATGATTGCAGACCCTGGAAGAAACCCCTCCCAAAAACAGTCATCCGACCCTCCCCCCGGGATCTCAACCCCTGCGGCCCTGCTCCGGCAACTTGGGACCATCTGTGCAGCCTGGGCCCTGCCCCCGGGCGCACGTGGCTGGAGCTCTCGCGGCGGCCCGAAGAGATTGATGGCCTGAGCTGGCAGCCTCCGAGCTTCTGATGCACGCTCGCTCCTCCGTCTGAGGGCTTCAGCTCGGTTGGCGGCTGTCCGAACAAGGACAGCAGCCGAGAGCTGAGGCGGTGGTGGAAGAGGAGGTGGGGCGGGGACGCAGACGGCGGAGAAGAAAACCACGGGTCTTCCTGAGACTCGCCTGGCATTTCTGGACGCGCTTCACGAGCAAACTGTATTACCATAGAGCGATTGACAAGGTCATCGCCTCATTGCTCTCACTGGCCTGGATTCAATCCACACTGTCTTGATCTTAGCAATGGTGGAAGTCTGTCGTACAGACCTTTGGAGAGCAAAATTTGGACCCATGGCCGGGGCAGTGGCATCGATGGATATCCACGAAACAAAAAACTAAGCATGTATTCACACTGCTGCCTGGCATCTTGCAAAACAAATTCCAACGTCGGCAGGATGATGTCTAACATGGGTCGACTTATTACTGCACACAACGATGGAGGATGAACCTTCTTCCTGGCTGTTCGGAAAGCTTCCTCCGTTTTCTTCTGACCTACAAGCGTCTGGTGGCCTCTAGGACCGTGGCCGTACTTGCCACCACCAGGCGTGTCAGACAGGGCGATGGCCAAGGAAGGCAAACGCACGGCTAGGATGATTACTTTGCGGGGCTTTCCGGTCTTGTCCGAAATCGCATTGGTCAAATTGTGAGCTATGACAAGCTGGGGATGCCATGAGGGCCCCCAGAGAGGACAGAGCAGGGCTTCCACCCACCCACATCCTGCAGCGACTGCCATGACACTTAACAATTCGATGGTGGCCATACACAGCACACTGGCCACATTCACTTGAAGCCTTTGCCCGGGAGTGAGAGCCGCCAACCCCAAGATGGGCAGTCCAGGATCTGAACGGAGGGAGGGGCCCGTTTTTCCACTGAGCTGCCGAAAAAGTGTCGAACGGGAAGCCCCCTCCTAACGCATCCATTCGTCCAGCCTTGGTGCGACTAGACCAAGGCTCTCATGTAGATTGCTTATTGAGATCCGCGACACCTGCGTCTACGAGAATATCTACCGACAGGCCACGCACTTCTACCGTAGGCAAGATCAGCTCTAAGGATGCTTCCACAGCAGAATGAATACCACCTTCCCTACGCTGGCCATAGAAAATGGTGGCTATAAAAAACTGTTCGGTGATGCAATCTGCGAGATGGCTAGTGTGCTAACATCCTAGTATAATCATTGGGATCAATAGGCCAACAAAGAAACAAGCCCTCAACCGAACGGGGGGCCAGGGGCTGAGATGGCAAAATCATGTAGGATCCTGCGTGGCCATCCAGTGATGCGTCTTCAAGAATTATGAGCATACTCTTGAGCCTGGCCCCGTGGACACATGATCTGGAACATCCTGGCTGCCGGGCGAGTGGGCCCTGCGACGACTCGTGATGGAACGGAAGCATGGGATGTTGAGTAGCTTTTCTTGAAAGCCTCTCTGTTTGTCTGTTCCCCTTGTTCTACTAGCTCCTGGGCAAGCTCCGGAGCCAGAGGCGGAACATGGTGAAAGTAGAAAGTCAAAAAAAAGTGGGACGCCAGGTCGCAACATGCCTGATCAGCATCGACCTTGACACCAGATTTACGAGGCAGGCTAGGCGCTGATAGGCAAAAACGCGCCTTCTTGCAATGTCTCAGAATGCGGCATGCACGGTTCGGACGTGGGCATCGAAGGAAGGTACATTTCTTTAGGTAACATCGCAAAATGGCATTTTAACGGGAGGCAAGGAAAGGGGAGGCCTTCACTGGTGAGGAGTGTCAGGAGCCGTTTCTCCCATCTCAAGCCCTCGAGGTCTCTCCTTGCCTTGTCAACTAGCCTTAGTAGCCTCATGAATAGTTCGTAGCCACGCGCCACGGGAAGATTTCGCCTTAGTGGCCCACGCACTTGAATCCGTAGACGGTAGGGGCACGTCCTGCAACCCGGTGGCACGAACACAGCCAGATAAAATCATCCAAAATTTTAGTCATTCAGGAGTTACGTTCGGCCTTGGCGTGAGTTTGAACGCATTCAGCATGTTGCAGCGCCAGAAGAGGCGCAGGCGTCGCGCCAGAACTTGACCAGCTAGGCGCAGACGCGCCGCCTTTAGCACATGGATGACAGAGGGTCTAAGCGCAGCAGCCATATCATCGTCGTCTGACGGCCCTCCTGCTTCAAAACGTGGAAGCCAGAGGACACGTCTGCACCGTCGAACATGTTGGGAGCGAATGCGGACACCGTCGTCGCCCAAAAAAGTGCACCATGCGCCTGCACCGTACAACGCCGAGTTCAAGACCAGGGAATCAGTAAATATCAGTTTCGCGGTGTCTGAAACCTTCGTGGCCCTCTTGAAGGCATTGCTCCAAACTGAAAGCTGCGCCCTTGAATCCGCCACTCGGTGGACCAGCTTGACAACCAACAAGAAGCATGGCATCACCCCCACAAAATAGAGAGCGAAGAGGAAATCGCTTGTCCGGGCTATGAAAGACGCGTCTCCTGCATGTAGTGGACCCTGGGCCAACCAGGTGCAATGTCAACTCCTGTCTGTCGAACTTGAGGTGTGGAACCAGGCCGACGATGGCGCGCGAGTTGAGCACAACCCTGCAGAATCCTCCAGACTCTCTTGCGCAACTGTGAGTGGGGCGAGCATTGCAAACAGCGAATCAACAGCATATACCAGGCCAGGAAAGACCAACCCCCGTCCTGCCCCGTCAGCACCCAAGGGGTTGCTAACGGGCATGGCAAAAGCGATCATGAGACCAAGCCCTGATAACACGCGCGCAAGATCGTCGGTGATTTCTGCCGCGATAAGCAGGGAACCCGCATCCGCGAACGGAGTCCGAGGAAGCGTGCCCCGAAATGCCACAGCAATGCGAGCAGCCCCAAGTAATTGAAAACATTCCATCCCATAAGCCGCACCGACTACAGCCTTGACGTGATCATCCAAATCCTGCATATGGGAAGACGGGGGCTCTTGAAGTCGCCGGGCCAGCAGAGGAAGACGGCGCCCGGGAAGACCCGCCAGTTCCAACAAAGTCAGAAGATATTGTGGGGAAACGACCGTCTTGAGCACGAGCTCTCGTATAGCGATGTAGGAAGCATCACACGCACGAAAAGACAGCGCAAGCGCAATCCGCCGCTTGCACAGACTTTGCAAAGCACGAGTGGCCAATAGAGCGAGTTGAGTGCCTCGATCAGGCACTCCCGCGCAGTGGCATGAACCTACAGCAGCCTGCATCGCCAAGAGCCCGTAGACATGCATGATACTTGTTTCCTATTGGGAGGCGATCAACATAGACCTAGAACACTCGAAGAATATATGTTGCCACGACCTTTGGATTTCCTGGGTAAGCCCTCGCCTCTTCCATTGCAGCGGCTCGGAAATCAAGCAGGTCGCCTGAACCGCCAGCGGATAAAAGAAGACAGCCATGGAGTCAGCGCACCCGTGCATAAACCAGCCATGGAGGCCATCAGCACCACCTGCATTGCCCTTTGTCAAACTCAGCTCTCTGCGAAAGTCTTGCCAACTGCGTATATTGAGGACAGAACGTGAAGCAACATTTGCCGAGGCACACTGATCGTGAAAAACATGCGCGAAGGTAGCGGGGACGAGCTTGACCGCCAGCTCTCTTTCAGCAAAATAATCCATCCGCAGCTCATTGGCCTCGTTCACAGACGCAACCAACAACGCTTCTAGACCTTGGACCGCGGGGGGAACTTTAGCTTGTCGATTTTTTTTTGCCAGCAGC